TTTGAATCAACAACACAAAGGAAACGAATTATCTTGAAGAATTTTGTTTGTCACGACAAATCAGCTGTGTCCATTCTCAGACTCTCTTTCGAGTACTTTACAACTAGCTTAACCGATCACTTAACCTGTGGACCTTCCAGCATATGTGACAATAACATTGTCAGTCTACAATGAGATCGAAAAGACCCCACTGGGAAATCTGTCTCAATGCAACTATTGAAGCGAGCTCACACCCCAGGGCTGTAACCGAACTAAGGGAAATACCTTTGATGTTTTCAATGGAAAGACTGATTCTCGTAAACTAACCAAGAAAGCATTCAATGTCGTTGACGATACTCTTCATTTTTGTATTCAAGTTTAATTGCTGATGTATGAACGATATTTGTGAAGATAGACAGTCAAAAATGCATTAAAGGAAGATTAAAGTCACTTTGCTGAATAGGGTCGAAATTTTTGGTCATGTTTGTTAGTCGGGGTATTTATTCCTTTGATTATTTTATCATAACAGACAAGTTGCCTGTTTCATAATACCTGTCACACCATATGAGTTTATCTTTAGTCTTTACCTTTTTAAAAGTGGGGTCTTAAAATAGCACAATAGAGTAGTGCTAAGTAGAACTAACAACAGAAGTATTAAGCGTGGAGGTGACTTACACCTAGTACGTAGTTTCATTATTTTTCTGGATCGAGCTCTTGAAACGGAAGAGCAGTTTGATAACCTTGAGACAACTGCTTGTTGCTAGGGAGCCTTCTTTCTTTGATTTTTCCCCTCTGCAATGCCTATCTCTAGCTAAATTGTTAGACATGGCTTCATAAAAATATATAATCACAGCAGGCGCTTGTCCGCAAATAGATATATTGTCTTGCGGTATATGCCAGGTGCAGTTAGTTTTTCTTATTCCAAAAATTTGAATTGTGAGCGAACTAATTAAATATAGGTATTATAGGACCTAACGACTTTGGAATACGACAGTCACAAAACCTTTAAGATGTGCTTTCTGTGGCTAATTATAAATTTTCGAACTGAGGCAACACTAGGCATGTAATTAATACCCACGTCAAAAAAACAGAAGTGATTGCTGTTCGTGTGCACCATAGTACCTTTATTGCATTCTCTTAGATTGTAAAATATATGATACAATCAAAAGCTTTCTTCACACTCATGCGTGAGGCTGCGTGTGCCCGTCTATCGTGTCTTGCTAAGGTTGAAATTGTCAACTTAGTGGTCATATTATAGAATTTTTATCCACTGAGTTTGGTCGGGCCTTCCTAAAGGTAGGTTCTTTTCTAAAAGCAACTCTTTAGAATCAAGTAGTGCTAAGTAGAACGAACCAAAGCAGTATTAGGTGTGGAGTGTCTGATGGTTTAGACTTACACATAGTAGTTTCATCAATTTTCTCAATCGAACTCTGCATAGCTAAAGAGCTTTCTTGCCGTGATTTTTCCCTCGTACTGCAACGCTTCAGTTAAAGCGTTGGACATGATTTGATAAAAATGTTTAATCACATCTGGCGCTCGTCTCATGTAGATATATTGTCTCGCAGTATACGCCAGGTGCAGTTAGTTTTCCATATTCCAAGAGTTGAATTTGTAGCTTTCCACGATAAAGAATCTAATGAGGGCAACTGTGTTAAGTAACTGAAATGTGCGTGTATGAAGTACATTGAAGAACCGTCTTTTGAGAAAAGGCACTGACTGGAACGGTATTTGAAGAATAAAACCACTCACTTCATCAAAAATGCAGTGACGGCACAGTCACTGACAGTTGTCGTTTTCAGAAAAAGAAAACAAAATGAACAATTGCTTTTGAGTTAAATTATATACTTGCTTCGAAACAGTTGTAAAACGACCAACGGCTACAGAAACCTTCAATACTTAGAGAAATAAATACAATAATACGACAATAGGTGGTTTATGCGGCTCGAGTACGTACGAGTGCAGTGGCAGTGAAACATGTCTGGTAGACAAGGCTATCTAAAAAATAAAAAAACACCATTCTTTTATATATTTTTCTTTAAGTGTTGCGTTTAAGATAGCGATGTTTTTTTTGTACTTGATTATGGGCCCTGACCACATAACTTGGTAAAGCCATCATGAAATATCGCTTGCATAAAATGGTGTGACTCTATCGAATTTATTGTACTCGTCTTGGAGACGATCGAAACCTAATTTATAATCCTAGCTGTTTCGCGTGATATTTTTCTATTTTCCAGATACGGTTCACCTTCCGTCTGGCTTTTCGAAGGTCATTCTCTTCTTCATATTATTGTGATGGCGACACAACTAATCGCGGGGGAATTATTGGATCCGGAGGTTCTTGGAGAGCTAAGTGCAGCGATCAATCCAGTGCGGTGTGTTCGCAGACCTATTATCTCGCAAACACTGGCTTTCGCTGTACTGACTTTAGTAGCGATGAAGATTGGTCCATGGGGGAAAATAACTTCACCTATACTTTTCCTTCTAGCAATATGGAGTGGATTGTGAGGTGTGTCAAATGTGAATTAAGAGAAGAACAAACACGTAAAAACTAACTTTATAAGACCTTTTTAGTGTCCAGAAAGCAGAAAGCATCGAACAATTAAGAATCATTTGCAATGACCAAATCATCTGGGATGGTCTTTCAGATATCCAGCTTTTAACCGTGGAAAATAGCTGAGAGCCATTCATGAGTTGTTTTCAAATTTGCCAAATTTACTCCCTCCGTCCATCACTCAGTCACCCCATGACTCCCAATTCCTTCCATTCCTTCTAAATTTTTGGTAAGTCTGTTGAGTAGCATACACAGCTTTCTCATGGTCAGTTTTGTTGGAGTGCTAGTCAGTCTTCCCAAAACAAGTTAACTAATTCTGAAGTCTCGTTTTATTTTCACAAACCTTCCTATCTTGTCTTGTCGACAGTTACCACAGTTGTTGCTGGATTTCCAATCTTGTGCGATATGCTAGCTCGAACTGGTTGGTATCTACCAAAATAAGTCTTTCTAAACGATCAGATAACGGCAAAATCAATTCATCCCCAGTCTCCAGGAGCCCAGCTATTGTACGGTTTCAACAGGGCTGTCAGAAGTCTCTTACAATACCGGTTGAAGATCCAGATGGCGATTTTGTGAAATGCCGTTGGGCAACCAACGCCGAGTCCTCCATACCAAACGATAGTTTTTCTTACGGTGAACTTAATGAGGTAAATTTGTTTGCTCTATCAATTAATTTTTCTAGTAAAACACGAGAAAATTAGAACTTGTTAATCACGACCTGGCGAACGATTCAAAAGCTTTTCAAGAAATCTCGTAGAATTCCAAAATAGGAATAAAAAAAGACTCTACTATTACTACCATGACAAAACTATGGATGACGAATCTAAGAGAGAAAAGTAAATTTAGTCATGTTTTGTGAGCAAGCTGGTAATTCTCGGTAAACCCCAACCTCGTTCCCAGGGTCTCTCTTCCCGCCCTCCGGAGCGAGTGAGGAGAGACCCCAGTTTAGGCTGGTCACGGGTCTTCCAGATTTTAGCAGATTTCAAATAAGCGGTTTGAGGAAGGGGTAGATAAGTGGGAATTTCTCTCCGCTTAGTCCACTGGCGAGCGTGGCTAGTCGGCAATCCAAACAAACTACACGTGAAGCGCTTCGAACCGAATGTCAACTGAGAATATTCAATAGACGCCCAAAAAGGTCAGTAAATCTTCCACTACGGTAAATATCAGTTGTTGCAGGCTTTGTAAACCAGTTGGAGACATATCTTGCTCGAAGAACATCTAAGCAAAAGGAAATCGCGCATCGCTCGCCGCTGCTGAGGACATTTATGGCCGGCCGTTGAGATAAGAAAAGTTTTCTCCACATCTAGATCTATCATGTAGACCTTGCGAAAGATGCTTAAAAAAATTTTTTTTCTTTCAAAACGGTGATTAGTGAAAGTCAGAGTTTTATCGAAAAGGTGAAGTGATGCACAGAAATATCGCAATCTGTGCCACGCACCTTGGCCATGATGCAGGGGAGTCTGAGGAAAGCCGTCGCGGTCTAAATTCTGTAACAGTACCAACACAAATGCAGTCTTTGCCTGGAAAAGAGGTAAACAACTGCATCTTCGATAGTGTTTTGCCAGATCTGCTGTTTGTTACGTTTTGACGGTCCCTGATACTTCTTTGTCGCCTCTGAGTTGCGAGTACTTTTACGAAAGGTGACAAATTTCTTTCAGAATGAGCTACCTTCGATTGATTTAGCCGCTGTCAGATATATTTCCGAAGACATTGTCCATGACCAGGAAAATTCGTACACATTTTCTTGTATTATTTTTATTTAATTTTTTTTTTGTGCTCGTCTAACCAATCTCTATTTTTCTAGTACCTATTTCCTTCAGAAGAGGAAAAACATGTGCACGCAATTGCGCGTACTTGTTCGCTTTCCTTTGTTTACATAAGTTGAGGTGCCAATGTTGAATTAAGTCACAAATAAACCTACGGCTGCCGGTACTCGTTCTTATTTGATCTTTGATAAAGGCGTTTAAAGGCGAAACAACAGTAACAACTGGACGAAATGACAAGGAAGCTGAGGGTCGTTAACTATTTAACTTCTCGAAGAAGAGTGAAGGAAGAAGATGAAACATCAAACATTTAACGTATCCAGTCGGTAAAACGGCCACATCTCTGCCCGAATATGTCGCTTCTAAACACTGGACTTGTTTGGGTTTTAAATGAAGGTTACAATACCAAATCCGAGATATAGCGACTTGAAGGCTGCTATAAAACATGGCGACCTGAACAACGATAGCGTCGATTTGAAGATGACAAAGGAAATGAGGCAAAAATCAAGGAAACAAACGACTCGTCCCTAAGAAATTTTTTTACTCCATAAACACGTGACCAGCCTAAACCAAGGTCTCTCCTCGCTCGCTCCAGGGACTGGAAGATAAGCGATCCTGAGAACGAGGTTGAATAGACCCATTGAAAAGCGCGCGAAATCAATCAAAGCGCCTAGATTCTCTCAGAATGAGCTTCCCGAGAGCTTTCCGGGTAAGAAAGGACTAAATAAATGAAATGGCACTTAGAACACGTGCATAAATTACAACGAAAACTAAAGAGAATTAGCGGTATACAAAATGAAGGCAACTACCTCAATTTATTACCGAAGAGTACTTCACATTTTACCGAGAAACGCAAAGTTTATGATCAGAAATGGTGTAGGATTATTAGCGGCAGTGAGCCAACGCTAACGAATGGTTTACAAGCCTAAAACACAGTTTCAATGTTTTTCGGTATATTGGTTAGTATCATTTGTTTCATTAGTTAAAATTTGTCTAATTAGTAAACTTAGTTCTAAACAGTTAAGTTTCCGGGAAGCGCAACGGTTTATGATCAGAAATGGTGTGGGACTATTAACGGCAGTGAGCCAACGCTTACGAATGGTTTACTAGCCTACGATACGGTTTCAATGTTTTTCAGCATATTGGTCAGTATCATTTGTCTCGTTACTTAAATTTGTCTAATTAGTAAACTTAGTTCTAATCGATTATATTTGGCTGCTATATGATGGATGGCTTTAACACGCGGAACAAAGAAATATTAACAAGCGCACTGTGACTTTATTGTTAATTCAAGGGAGATCTCAACATGGCACTAAGAGGTAAGACGATTTTAATTTGCTTGGTGTAGTTGCAAAAATGATCCTTTCATACTTTGCTTTGCAGAAAAACTGCGTTTTAACTTACAGAGGTGGACGTGGAGCATCGGGCACTTACGCAGTAACCTTAACTTTGGAAGACTTTCCAGCTGGAACCACAAACTTCAATAACGTCAGACCATTCAGTGCTGTGCCACTGCAGTTTCTAGTCATAATAAGCGCTGGGTCTGGTTCTTGCCAAGACATACCTGTTTTTACTGCCTCCACTCCTCATAAAGGTGAATGCTTGGAGGTTCAGATTGGGTCGGCATATAAAGCAGTCATTGAGGTGCGGCTTCCAAACATTGCTAAACAGTAAGTATTCAAGGTTGCATGTCCAGGGCATCTGAGCTTGCCTTTTTTGTCCATGAACTGTGTATATAACAGCTATCCGACGGTGCATCACCTGTCATGTCATGTTTGCTGTTAACCTAATTCTTTTCTTTGTATTCTAAGTGTTGTCGAGATAACCACAAGCTCTCCTCTTGGTATGCAAGTTACGCCAATACGCTTCAATGGAGGCATCTACTCAAGAAATGTCACGTGGTATCCGAATCAGAACCAAGTTGGGCAGCAGTTGTTCTGCTTTCAAGCTTTGGATTCAGACGGGTAAGATGCTCTTGTATTTAAGATTAGAATTGTGATGAACTGCTAAGTTAGATTGAGTTATTTCAAGTCTTTCTCCGTGTAAATGATCACTATCATGACAAAGCAAGACATTAATGGTGTTTCTTTGGAGTGTTAGATGTGCATATCGGGCAGCATTTCCAACTAAAAAAGCACAAGATAAACTCTATGCTAGTACAAGATACACATAATGGAGTGCCAATTTTTTGTCAAGTTTATCCTGGAGCATATCGTTAGTAATTTACAGGAGGATAAAAAAAAGTTCATGTTGTGTAAGTCGATGTATATATATTCATATTTGATATAATTTCCATTTTACAGATTACAAAGTGAATGGCGTTGTGTCACGATTCTTGTGGGGCTAAGTAAGTTATTTTTATCCATTGGAATATTTCGAGTCAATCAGCTAGACATGTGAATTGAGCTTTGTTAAACCATCATTTCTACTGCATAATTCTTAACACCGTTGAGGCGTTGGCAGGTTCATTTGCTTTTTATGCAGATTAGAACCAAACAAAAAAGCACAATGATCAAATAATAATTAATAAAATATCTATGTTAATGATAAAAATGCAGTAATAATAACATCACGATAAACAAAAATTGACTTAAAATGGAAATCGATCGAATCAGTTAGTTATTTATCTATGACTGAATCACTGCGTACTATTTGGTTATTCATTTGATACATATATACAATTTTTTTTAAGGTAATACACCTCGTGTTATTTTGGGTACAAGAAGGCCGATAAGTCCTATAAGTGAGATCGGAACAGGACTAATATGGTGGAGTATTCAATTTGACAGAGTGGTAATCAACACTATTCTCTTTACTTTTCAAAAAGTGACCTTCAAGTAGATCCTAAATTAGAATTTTGATAAATTATCACGCCTTCAATGGAAAATAATCAAGCAAATCAATAACTAGGAATATTACCAAGTTACAACACCTGATTCTCAGTACAAAGAAACAACAACAACAACAACAAAAAATCACAATCACTTTTTGGACGAGCTAGTTTTCAAATCTTGGGAATTAAAAAGGTTAGGGAAATTAGAATACACATGAATTTATGGTTGAGTTTGATCATTTGTAGATAAAGAAGCCTCGTAGCTCAGCATTCATACGACTGGTTCTGCAGTCAAATGGTTTTACCGTCTTCAAAGTGGATGCCCTCTCTAGTTACGTTATTATCGACGGTAACCGCACAGCACTGCATTTTGCCACGCCCAAGGCTGCACTGAGTATGAATGGTTCATATGCCATCTTGATAGATCACGGTGCAGTGGTTGGACAAGGCTGCTCATATGATGGTCCACCAACGCCTGGTATAACCTCACCCAAAGACTGGGCTTTCCCTATAGATGGTGCCTGCCCTGTTGGTTATGCCTTGGCTCCTCCAAGTTTTCAAAACTGTGAGGGTACGTCTAGAGTTGTAGTATTTTGTGAACAAGTACCCTGTATCTTTAGCCTATACTGGTAGGGTAAGGGCTATGAGGTCGCATCATCAATGCTCAAATCTCAACCAATACAATAAAAAACATCTTCCGATTATTTTCTTGAAAGATTACGTGCATGAAGGATACGCTATTGAAATTAATTTTATGTACTGCCTGTATTCAGATAATTGTTCAGTGTAACTGCTTTTCATGATACATCATTTTCTGATATCCTGGTGTTGAAAGTCGCAATGTTAAGCCCCCATTTTTTTATATTTTATCATTTTCGTGTACAGAAATTGTGATGTCTACTACCTGGGTGCGAAAACTTAACTGAAAAACAAGCATCCAATAAAATCAAGTAGGGCCTATAATAATCTAAAACAAATAGATATCTAAATCATTCAATATTTTAAATGTAAGCATAAACTCAAATTGTAGATGTTTTTTAACGAGTCTGTCCATGCGAAAATTTCTTTTGTATTTGTAGATATAGATGAATGTGGGGAACATCATCGGTCAAAACGATCTTATTGGTGGTGGCAATATATCCAGACTTCAGGTAGATACCTACACATGCTTCTTTATGCTAATAATAACAATCATTATAATAACAGTTATTATTATGGCAAATAAGGTCTGTCATATAATTTTTCGATTATTGTTTATCATGTCTATAATGATTATCAGAAGGTGTAGGCTTACCCTCTCAGTACAGGGAACATGATTTAACAACCCAAAATCTCACCAATATATGCGCAAGATTAGATCATCATCGTCATCCAGTGGAACCTGGTATACTCTAGCTAATTTCTCGTGAGTCCTCTCTTAAGGTCTCTTGTGAAATGGTTCTCCATTCGTTTGTCTTTGCCTTCGTATATGCAATCCGCCAAAAATAGCTTTGACCACACCTTTTCATCACCTTCATCTGACAATGAGACTTCTTTACGTCCTTTATACGTCCTTGTATGTATTTTGTAACGGATGTTTCTGTATCCTACTCTGGTTTCACTGCTTATTATGAAAACGTCCATGAAACATATTCTGTCTTCCTGCATTAAAGTGCAAGACAGGCTATGACTAGAAGTTTTTCCATAGCTGTCGTTTTTCACTAAATTCTGCTTGTTGTTTATTCGATTTATTTTGCCAGAAGATATTTACAATCTTTATAACATTTATAGCATTTATACGCAAATATAGACTGTTTCCACTCTTACGCAACGAAAAAACGAATTAAAAACTATTCAGTGGATACGGTCAAGAAATTGTATTCTTATTGGAGATAGGCAAAGAAGACACTCCTTCAAGTCTTCGGTCTTTTCTTTTTTCCAAACTTCAGATTATTCGTCGAAATGTTCTGCGCAAATTTGCAGAGCCCAGTATGGAGCTGCTATGTTGGTGCGCCTTTTTGGTACACCAATATGGTGGCCGGCAAATGATATAAACATCTGGAACTTACTTTGACTATAGTACTGATTTTCTAAACTGAGCCAACAAACATTAACACGTATACTTACTTTGGCTATTAAGTCGACAGATTATCTGGATTGAGCTAATAAACATTAACACATGCACTTACTTTGGCTACTGAGTCGACAGATTATCTGGACTGAGCCAAGAAACATTAACATATGCACTTTTCCTACTACTTAAATATCTAAAAAAGGCTAAAACCACTAGATATATTTTTCGACAGACACGATTGGAGCTGTATGTCACGCAACGCTACGACTGTGAACTTCAAACGGCGCTGGTTCCCAATCCAAGCACGCCATTAAGCTGAAAATTTGAAAACAGATATAAATTTAAACCTCCTTATACGTGACGAGAATAAAAATTCTCGTGGCTCTTTTGTCTTGGAAGTTGGTGACGTCACGTGAAACAATCTTTATACAATTCTTTCTAATTCCCGGCAAGACGCTCTTTTGGAAAGAATGGGGCTTATGAATATGACCTCCCCTATAAAACTATTATTAACTGAAGACATTAAAAGGAAAAAAGAAAGAAAAAAAGAAAAAACTGATTCTTTAAAAAAATACACAAAAATACGAACACATGACCTCAAAAAGCAAGCGAACAGAATTCTGTAAAAAAAAGTTATATCTATTTGAAGAGTATCACAAAAGGAGAAATGCTTCTAGCCTTGATTTAGAAAAGCTTTTTCCATTAAATTATTTATATCAATATCATAAGATGGGCTTTTGACTCACAAAGAGTAAGCCAGTTAGATGAATACACACGGACTACACAATATCAAGCAAACATATATAGGCTAACTAGAGTTTCTTTCAAAGAGCACATGTCAAGTGTGTTTCTCGCACACCCCTTTTTCGTAGATCCTGACCTCTCACCTATACTTTTTTTTGGATGATGTAAACCGCCATGATTATTTTCTTCCCACAGCTCACCACTCATCGTCAAGTATTCCCACTGATATATCTCCTACACCAGGTATATTTTTTTCTTATCCACTAAATTCGTTTATCGTTAACTTTTCATTTTGTTTAAATGCGTGAGTTATCGATTGAGAGTACTTTCAGCAAGCTAAAGTATTGCAGGAATGCAATATATTCTCGCATGTATCCTAAAGTGCACGGTTCAGATTCAACATACATCAGTTTTTTTGTTTATTCGTTTTCAAGTTGGATTTACTTGACAAATTTATTAAGAATTACAAGCATACGGTATTTTTTATATGTTTCTCTTGTCTTCTTAGCATCAGTATCACCCCTGTCAACAGCCTTACTGCCAGCTGCCTCTGGTAAGATTGTATGACATTTTAGTATTCCTCAAATAATCCTAAACTCCTTGAGATATGTTTGAAGTCAAGATGACAATTGATAGTCTGACTCTTGTTGTTCCTACTTGATACTGATTTTTTTTAGCCTCCTGTCACTACAATTTATATGGACCATACGGATATTTCAGTAGCCCAAACTACCCACAAAACTACGGCCACAATCTCCAATGTGCTTGGCTTATTACGACATCAAGGGGTTACTACATATACCTCCGCTTTGACCATTTCCATCTGGAGGGTGGTTCTGGAAGTTGCCCTTACGACTACGTACAGATATATGATGGAACGTCTTACCAAAGCCTAACAGTAAGACGCTGCTATTATCAAGATTCCTGGTGTGTTTACAGCCACAGCAACGTCCTTTATGTACACTTTAAAACAGATGGTTCAGTTTCCCACCCTGGTTTCACTGCCTTTTATGAAACAGTCTCTGAGAGATACTCAGTCTGCAAAGTAAATTCAAGTAAGGATATCTTCAGTCTTGAATTTGTTCTCATTTCTGGTGGGAACTCAGTTGACAAACCAAATTACCTTGTTATACTCCTCCACTAACGCAGCATCACAGTTTCTTAAGGACCTTACTCTTACTCCCCTTGGACAAACAGATAGTCAGGAAAGAGATAGGAAGAATAGACTAGTAACAGAGAGACGAGAAGACATAACGGTTTTTAAAAACTATGCGAATAGGAGACTAAAGTACATTCTTAGACAGCATGTGTCCATATTTTTGGGTAAGTAGTGAACAAGCTTTGTAGAATCATTCCCGAAGAGGAAAACGTAGTAATAATGCCTCTCCATTTTGTTTCCACAGGTATCTCACAAGGCATAAATCCTACTTCAGCTGGTATTTTTTTTTTGCTTTTATTCTTCTTCTTCAACTAAAACAACCACTTCTGCAGAAACTACGATCACTACTACAATTATCGTTACTAATACTGCTACTTCTTCTGCTACAACCACTTCTTCTACCACCACCACCAATTGCTACTACGTCTACTAGTTTTGAAAGTCAAGACAAGGAATTTTGTTTATGTGGTATAAAATGAACGCAAAAAATGATCGAATAAACAACAGCAAAAAGATAAAAGCAATTTTACCAAAGGGCTTGGGTTGGCAGATATAATTTACAAAATGATAGATAAACTAAGTATTTTCACTAATTGGAATCGTCGTGTTCGAAATTTACCGATTTTTGTCATTCTTCTGGAAACATTTAGACTGTGTTGAAGTAACTCTTGATAATGAATTCGATGAAAGCGAGAAAACGCCTCACCAATTTTGTTTTCCACAGCTCCATGGGTATCCGCCAGCGCAGCTCCTTCATATGCTTCAGGTTGTATTTCGACCCTTTTCTATTCCATCCATTATACTAAATGAATATGTATCAATAATATCAATGTATGGTTATATTGGGTAGATCGGAATATAACTCAGTTTCCCTAAATATGAGTGTTTATTATCCAACTACACCTAGACGAGTACAAATAACGCCATAGACGAGTACATATATCACGCGGTAATTGTACTCGTCAATTGTAGAGTACCGGTTAAACAGGTTTTCTCGCGTCGCGCAAGCGAAGGATTGGATCGTAGTTACGAAAAAAAACAAATGGCGGACAATTTGAATCACACTTCCGACGCCGAAGAGTCAGAATGGCTGGCAAAGATAGATCCAAGTTCAATAGATGAATCGAAGGAATAAAAACAGCTTGACGACCAGAAAATTTCTTCATTTAATGAAGAAAATAGAAACAGCAACACAACAACGCGCCAGTTCCGTTCCGCTTCGCATAGTTCTGTCACGCACTCCCCGTAAATACATATCCGCGAAATTCGCCCACACTGAAATAAGAGTTTGGCGTGTTAGATAATAAATAACTTATTAGGCGTTTCGTTGTGTAGTATCGCTGAGTACTTTTACTCGTTATTTTGTATTTTGACTCGCCCTACGGGCTCGTCAAGATACGACACAACTCGTAAAAATACTCAGCGATACTACACAAAAAACGTCTATTAAGATATATATATATTGTATGAGGGTAAAATATACCTCAGGGATTCTAATGAGACTCTAATAATACTTAAAATAATTAATTTAAAGCTTATGCCAAGTTGTATGGACACTTTTGCAAGGTACCTTAATGACTCAATAAATTTGTATTATTCCGCTGTTTGCAGAGTTCAAAAAACAGCGATGCACAATCCACTTGCACAAATTTTTTAAGCGCTAACGACTTCGATAACAATTTGGCATTTTCACATCGTTTGGCCATGTTTAAAATTATCATTGCACTTTTCTTTAAATTTGATATTGGTGCCCCTTCTCTCGTTTTCAATTTTTTTTTCTTTGCATTCAGAATGCTATTACTACTCATACCTACAAGATGCAGAAAGAAGAATGGGTTACTATAACGGGTACTACGCGAATTACCAATGTGATAGCTCTTTACCGTTTGGATGGTACCGATTTCGTGGTGCAGCGGGAACAGAAATGCCCACTTCTTGTGTAGGAGAAAATCATTGTGGCAGCCATGCACCGGGTTGGTTGAATGGCTCACACCCGCGGGCAGTTGATGGAATTGTTAAGGCTACAGTGTGTTTCCATTGGACCTCTGATTGTTGCTTGTGGTCTACCAACATCCGTGTTCGTAACTGCAGCGGTTTCTACGTGTACGAGCTCGGACCCCCACCGACTTGTTATCTTCGTTATTGCGGTAATGCGGGAGGTAAGAGACATACAGGTGTAAAAGACGTGTAGAAAAACAAACAGACAGACAGGAAGACACAGAGGTAGGCAAGTAGGCAGGGAGACAGACAATTCGCTTTGACGAAGGACTGACGCTAGAAACGTCAGCTTTAGAAAAGGCTATTCAACATTACCAACTCAGTTGATAAAACCAAATTACCTTGCTGTGCTCCTCCACCGACGCAGCTCCAAAGTTTCCACAGAACCTTGCCGTTTTAGACAAGCAGGTATACAAGTAAGAGGCAAGACAAATAGACTGCAGCTTGTAAGTAGGCAGATAGAATGACAGATACAGAACAGGAGGAAATATTGGCCATCTGGCGAACGAGAGTAATGGCATTTGTCATTTTTCTCCCTGTTCACAAATTTGTAATGATCGTTGTTGTGTTTGATATAAACTTGTCAAAATTATCTGAATAGGAGATTACAGTACATTCTAAGCCCGCACATGTCAATATTTTTTCAGAGAAACCATTCCCGAAGAGGCACACCAGGTAACAATTTCTCTCCATTTCTTTTCACAGGTATCTCACAAGGCATAGCACCTACCTCAGCTGGTATTTTTTTGTTTTTATTCTTCTTCTACGACAACAACAACCACTTCTGCAACTACCGTGATCGCTATACTTCTACTGATACTAATACTACCATTACTACTTCCTCTTTTACCACTACAAGCTGCTACTACATCTACTAGTTCAGTTCGAATGTCTAAAAAAATAAATTTGTGTAGATAGAGAATAAAATGGTTGATTAAATCATCGAACAAACATAAGCAAAGAGATAAAAACAACTTTACCAAAGGGGTTGGAGTTGGGGTTGGAAAACACCCTGTTTGGGCCAAACTGTTGTGAATTGAACAAAACATAGATGGTTCAGTTTCCTATCCTGGTTTCACCGCTTTTTGTGAAAGTCTCCGAGAGATGCTCATTCTGAAAATAAATTCGAGTAAGGCTATGTTCAGTCTTGAATTTATCCTCATTTATGGAGGGAACTCAGTTGATAGACTCAAATTACCTTCTTATACACCCCCACCGACGCAGAACCACAGATTCTTTAAAACTTTACCCCCTTTAGAAAAACAGACAGTCTGGCAAGAGACAAGACAAACAGACTGGTAAGAGAGACAAAAATAGACAATAAGACATAAATGTTTTTCAAAACTACTGTGGAAGACTTAATAAAGGCGGGAATATATTTTCGTTTAGTTACAAAAACTGACAAGTTGGCTTGAATTAATTTTCGCGCAACTCACTTCCTGTTGTTTTGCAAGATATAAAATGTAGTGATAGCCAATTACAGTATCTTTGTCAGTCATCATTAGCCAGTATGATTTGGCCGCTAAGAAGACGATTATGAAAAGATTATAAAGAGAGATGAGGCAGTCACGCTGAATTGAATTGTCGCTCATTTTTTCTCCCATGAAATAAGCTAAAATAAATTCTACGCTTTTAAAAAGTATTCCACAGCATGCGAATAGGAGACTACAGTACATTCCTAACCAGCATATGTCCATATTTCTGGGTAACTAGTGAACAAGTTTCGGAAAATCATTTTCGAAGAGGCAAATGAGGTAACTAAACCTCTCCATTTCTTTTCACAGGTATCTCACAAGGCATAGCACCAACTCCAGCTGGTATTTTTTTCTGTTTTCATCCTTCTTCTACAACTATAACAAACATTTCTGCAACTACCGTCACTAATACCACCACTTCCACTACTTTTACTACCACTACAAACTGCTACTATATCTTCTGGTTCTACTGCAAAGTTTGAATGTTGGAACAAAAAATTTGTATATATACGGTACAATTTTCACGAATTGAAATAGTCGTGTTCGAATTTCCCTCCTTTTCTCTTTCTTCTCAAAACATATTGACTTAGTATTGACGTAACTCTCCGTAATGAATTCGATGAATGCGAGAAGCCTCGCCTATTTTGTTTTCCCACAGCTCCATGGGTATCCGCCAGTGCAGCTCCTCCATTTGCTTCAGGTTGTATTTGAACCCTTTTTTATTCCATCTATCATTAAAAAATATTTATTTAAAGAAAGAAAATTCGTTTTTTGTAATATAAACTTATGGTTATATTATGTAAGTCAGAAAATAACTCAGTTTCCTTGAATATGAGGACCGACAAAGATTTTCATTAGCTTAAAAAACTAAGAGGTAATATATAGCTTATCCAATGTTAAGTGGACACTTTTGCAGGGTACTTTAATTGCGTACTAAATTTGTACTACTGAGACTTAGATGACAATTAGGCATTTCACATCTTCTGGCCATCTCAAATATTGTTCTTTAACTTTATCTTTAAAGGGAAATTGGTGTTCCTTATCTCGTTTTCATTTTGTTTTCCTCTTTACATTCAGAATGCTATTACCACTCGTACCTACAAGATGCAGAGAGAGGGATGGGTTACTATAACGGCCAGTACGGAAATGTCCAATGTGATAACTCCTTACCATTGGGATGGTATCGATTTCGTGGTGCAGCGGGAACAGAGATGCCCACGTCCTGTGTAGGACAAAATCGATGTGGCACCCATGCACCGGGTTGGTTGAATGGCTTGCACCCGTCAGCAGCTGATGGAATTGTCCGTGCTACAGTGTGTTTCCACTGGAGTAATCAATGTTGCTTGTGGTCTATTAACATCCGTGTTCGTAACTGCAGCGGTTTTTACGTGTACGAACTTGGACCCACACCAGGTTGTCATTATCGTTATTGTGGAAATGGAGGAGGTAAGACTGAAAGGCATTACAAATAAATAGAAAAACACACAGAAAGAGACCGAAAAATAAAGACAAACAGCAAACAGAAACTTGTAACAGACACACAAACGGTGGTCAGACAAACAAATGATGGAAACAAACAAGTAGACGAACATTAGACACATATGTATATAAGAACGATCCTTCGCAGTAAAGCACTATTTGAGCAATAGTGGAAATCAGACCTGAAAAAAATTTCAGGCCTGTACGGGATTCGAACCACTGACCTCTGCGATACTAGTGCAGCGCTGTACCAATTGAGCTAACAAGCCAACTGGGAGCAGGCCATCAAATTAATTCGATATAAACCCGTAGATGATAAATCGAACAACAACAAACATATGAAACATATGAGTGAACTGCGGTTATGAGACGTATATAAGAACGATCCTTCGCAGTAAAGCACTATTTTTTTCAGGTCTGATTTCCACTATTGCTCAAATAGTGCTTTACTGCGAAGGATCGTTCTTATATACGTCTCATAACCGCAGTTCACTCATATGTTTCATTAGACACATATATTTGCACAAAATCACCAACATAGACAAAGGAACAACAGACAGACGTACAGACCGCAGACTTACACAAAACACAGAATATAAAACTAGTGTATGACAGAGAGACTAAGAGGGGGGTTAGAGAAAAGAACTTATTATGTATTACGAGAAATGTGCCTTTATCTCAATGCAAGCAAGTGGTGGGAGTGTTACGCAAACATTTCACTGCTCAAGTGGTCAAGTTATTAAACTTCATTAAAAGAGGAATCAACAAAATGACAAATCAAGCAGTCAACCGGTTAACGAATCTTCATTAGCTAGATAAATTAAGCTTGGATCTCTCTGGGTTTCTGGGAGCAAAGGCCCTATACTTAAGGAACTGATAAATAATGGAAGAAACCTTGCAAATTGTATTTGTACACGGTGAAACGTAAAATACATAAACATTAATAGTTCTATGCTTCGGTGGTTGATATCAATGTAGTAATTTTGTTAGAATGGTTACTGCTCCATGCAGACACGCATTCCAATGGATATTCATTTATTTTGCTTTCAGCCTTTAACTCAACCAATATCACACCTACACCCTGTAAGTACCTTTTTCTTTAACATGAATTCGGTTTCAACTGTTCTTCTCCAAGTGACTGTTATGATTCTTCCCATAAGGGAACTGGTAGAACTGAAGTGCATGTGTAGGATTACGTAAAAGACGCTCTACCATTTCTGAAATTGTTTTTTCTTTAATGATGAAATTAAAAATAAATCGTTTAAAGAAAAGAAAATTGGATGAGCAATTCACGAAATGTTTCTTGTGTCTAAGGCTAAAATACAACAAGTTTACCAGCCTTTCTTGGTGTAATTATAAAATACTTATGACCGTAATTTTTGTTTATTCTTGCCTTTCAAAGCCCAACCTATTGCAGCCGCTACCTCGGCTATTTCTGGTAAGTGCCATTTGGTTGAAATAAATTTGGAAAGGAAGTTTTCTTGTCAGACTGTAAGTTAAAGCATAAATTTCTACGTTGCTTTAGTGGAGCCAGTTGCGGCGAACCTCTCGACTATCGCCAATCTTACTGACTACTAAATAATGCTTTTTCGAACGCCTTACACGGTCAGTACGCCTTATCAGATCTGTGTAAACTTTAGTATTAGCCATGCGAAGTCTCCTAGTAAGCTTACAACCACTACCTATGACTACGTTCTTTCTCATATATCCGCCAACGAATGGAATGCTCTTGCTAAATTCTACAGGCTGAACACATTTTCTGATAAAGGAGAAGTGTACAAAGCCTGTATACCTTTGCCCAGTGTCCTATCTTTGAAAATTAAACGTCTTTCAAGTATAATTTTTGGCACTGTTTTGTACTTTTTTTAACACTTTATTTCTCGAAGATATCAATGAATTTTATATAGCTACTCTAAAACTCGGAAGGAAATAAAGGTTATGCGTGTCATGATGTATGTAACTGTCCAGTCAGCGTAGATAGAAATGGACGATCGCCGTGAAACCTAAGCAGAATGATCCATGCATTTAAGTTAAAAATAATAGACTGACGTACGGCTCTTTTGTTTAACTTCTCTCTTACAGGAAACTGTTTCCATCACCTCAACCAAGCTTCGGGTAGCTTTGAGAGTCCAGGCAAACCAGGTTGTTATCCAAACAACAAGGACTGCACCTGGCTGCTCGAAGTTCCTGTTGGAAAATACATTTATCTACGATTCTATTCTTTCCATTTGGAACATGGAGGTAGTCACTGCCCGTGGGATTATGTAAAAATTCTCGATGGCAACTCATTACACAGCCCTGTTGTTATCAAGGCGTGCGGCCAGTTGACAAATTGGAAATTGTACAGCAGTGGAAGGTTTCTCATGGTACTGTTCCATTCAGACGGTATCATCGGGATGCCTGGATTTTATGCTTATTTCCAAGCTTCAAATTACAGTAAGAGGAACAACTATACTCCTTTGACAACCTTTCTTGAATTAGAATGTCTGGATGAAAATTTTATAGCAGACAAAGTGTAAAATAAATATTTTTAAGACTTCAATTAAGTCAAGTTGAATAAAAATTTCAAAGCAAGTTCAAGACCATTTTCGAGGTTAGTTAAGTCGTATCTTCCAAGCTAAAGATATGATGATTGAATCAGGACATATCAAACTTTGGATTTATTTGATTCTGGTCTAAGAATAGGGCTTATGAACGCACCATTTACGGTCAATTTCTTTGTTTGAGGGGACCATGCTCTTTTGTGAAGAGAAAAAAGGCTTTGAGTGTTGATTCTAAGCCGAATACTCTAACGTGAAATTTGAATTCATCGGTAAAGGCGTAAATGGCAAATAAAATCTGCTGTGGTGGAGTGGTACGAACGTTATTGTTAACAGCAACTAATTTTATTACTAGATTACGAAGGGTAAATTTGGGAAGGAACAGAAGGTGAGGGGTTAATCTACGCGACATACTAGACATCCACTCTTTCGTTGTTTTTCTGTGAGCATTTTGGTGATAAGTTTCAAACACCTTCACGGGAATAACTACGAATGGTACTTAGAACCGTAAAGAACATGTTCTATTTAGCGTAAGAGCCTTTGTTCCTTAATATTTAAAAGTTTAAGCTATTCTTCAAACACAGGATACAGCATTGCCTTACCTAGCCAAACGTCAATAACAAGCCCAGTGCAGTGTTTTCCTGCGCAATCACAAACTGCCACTCCCACTTCGTCAAACGGTAAGTGAACGAAACCTGGGCCCCTGAAGAAAGCTCGTTTTCTAATGATTTTTACTAATCTTTCAGAAGCTTTCCATATTTTTATCAACAATTTCCTATTCCAAAATGTAATTCCTTTTTAAACCATCATCGTTTCATTTTGAACATGTTTCAAACAAGCTTAAAAATACACAATCTAATGGTGAAAAATGTATTAGCGTGATTAACTATTGCTGATAGACTGAGCCCAACACAGTAAATATATTTTTAAGATGAAATAACCATGATTTAGGTCCATCATTAGCGGTTGAGCGAGTAAGGATAAAACTGAAAATAGAAAAAAATGTGTGTTCGTTTTCAGTGCTCGGAATCCAGCCTACGCCAGCCTCTGCAATGGCATCGACCTTCTATGCTGCTTCAAGCGTAAATGTCCAACCAGATCCTTCACAGTTTGAGTTTCATTTACCGGCGGAATGCGATCAAAGTTGTCACAACACAGTTGGAAGTTACACTTGCTCTTGCGTTAGTGGATACCAACTGGCCGCAGATGGGAGATCGTGTTTGGGTATATTATTTTTCGAGAAAATTTGTTTGGTAATATTTTTATTGTTTAGCTACCAATTTTTGTAAGAAAAAAAAAGCAACAACAACAACAAAAACGTATTCGACGTGTACGCTATTATAGCAACAGATCGTCGTGTTTTTGATATTCAGCTTGACTCCCAAGTTGTGGTTTCTCGCGTGCTGGTTCATACTTCTAAATAGTTCCCAATCAGTTTAACCCATTATACCCTAACCGTTTAGTATCTATATTCTCCATGCTATTTCCAAGGTTGCACACAAGGAAAATTTGTTTAACAAGTAGGAGCTTCTTCAGTTGATCATCGACTTCTTATTCTTGTAACCTAAATGTTTGATTTAGATGTGATGCTGAGAGGAGATATCACAAGCTAGTCACTCTTAAGGGTCAAAGGGTTAACAATATAGACCTCAGAACGCCCAAATTACTCTCCTCCTCTCGTACGCGCTTTACCTTCTCCCTAGCTTCCTATTATAAGTTAAGCTTGTAATTTATATATATATATATATATATATATATATATATATATATATATATTGTGGGAGGAAAAAGACAAGTAAACTACAAGTTCATCCCTACAAGCCTGTTTCGTGGTCGCCCACTCATCAGGGGATTTAATGAGAATAAACTTTACCATTGCTTATATACAATATAATTTGCATGATCTAACTAGTCTAATTTATGCAGCGCGAAATTGACAGTTTAGTTGTTGCGTAGGAGGGCTTTGCTTCTGTGGCGGCATGAAGACACGAGTTCATTACGTTTGTTTAGTGTTGATAGTTCGGGCCGGCAGATGATTAGGAATTTTTCTTTGAGGCAGAGGTTACATCTTTTAGTTGAGCTGTTATACGGTGAGTGCGATGAGAGAATGCGCCAGGAAATAAAGTGATCGATGTTGTTGTCTTTGAGGGTCCAGATGTGCTTGCTGAGTTCGGTAGAGTTTCTGTGTTTAGCGTGGCGGAATGATGCGGTGTGGTTTCTGTATCTTGTTTTGAAGTCATTCTCTGTGAGTCCGATGTACGTTTCTGTCGTGTTGTTGTCTTTGCGTGTAACGGAGGCTTGGTAGATTACTGATGGTTGCAGGCAGTTTCCGTCGAGCGGGCATGTGTTCTTTTGTCGGCAGTTGCATGTCTTGTTGTTATCAATGGTAGTGGCGGTGGCGG